ATGTCCAACTTTGCACTCCTAGAATTCAAAAGCATTACTTCAGCTCTGGAGTCATATCTGTCCACATACAAATACTATTTGATGGTGCAAAGCAGATACAATGAGATGACCCAGGGGAAAATTCTGAGAGATAGGCTTTGCCAGTGCGTCTTACTATGGTAGTCCCTCTTAAATAGTGTTTTCAGTGCATTTAATAGTGATTCATTGGCTGTCCATGATCAGCCTAGAGGTGTGGTGGATGCGCATGACACCTTCCAGTGCTATGAAAACAAAACTGTACAGCATGTGTAGCAGGTGATAGTTTAGTATAGAATTGCCTTGGGCAAAAGAAACGGCCCAGGCCCCTGCTGCTTCCAGCAGAGCAGAGCACTCGTAGCAGCAGGACTCCCGGGACTCCCGATTCCTTTCCAGACCCCTTCTTGACAGGTTCTTGTGTTCATGAACGAGGTCAGGGGTTCCTGCCCACTGCACAGAAATAGCAGTTAGGCTTCATGAGGTTTACATGGCTGACTTGGGGGGTGCGGGGGGTGGGGAAGTCATTGCATCTGTCCAAGTGTGGGTTCCCCGCTTTGCAAGCACAGAAACAGGCTGGGTGTTCACGCTGGCTGGCCAGAACCCCTCGACTCCGCACAGAAGCCACACTGAACGCTGGGCAGCTGGCCGTGAAGCAGAGACATTCGCATGAATTTTGTGTTGCAGAAACAGGGTCTGTAGGCAGCATATGGGTTTTGTCTCTGTCTTTCCTTCTGTTGCTACTTCATCCACCCTGCTTTTTAGCCTCTTTGTAGACGTGTAGCCAAACGTTTTGCAGGGAAAACACCTAGCGGCCAGATCCCCTGAAGTGCAGCCACTCCAGATTCCGCAACCTTGGGGCTGGCCTATGTCCTTAAATAGAGAGCAATTTGGGGACAAACTGGTAAACTGGTTTGCAAACCAGTTTGGGTTTGCACACCAAAGGGAGCAACTTCTCAAAGGCACCTCACAGTGTCTTCTCAACCGCCTCCTTCCAGCTCTTCAGTGGGGGGAAAGAAAAATACCTCAGCACCAGAAATGGTACGTAGCAAGCTTGGGTCACATTTCTCTGATTTTTCTTTGATATTTCCATCTCTTAGGTGACTGGAGCAGTGCAGCAGAGAGGTTAAGAACAGAGCAGATTCTGTGGGTAGACCACCCAGCTCCGTTCCTGGTCACAGTGGTTCTCAAACTAGTGCGAATGAGAGTCCCCGGGATTCTTATTAAAACGCAGACTGCTGGTCCTTCCCCGCCCCCCCTTTCTGATTCAGGCCCTGGGGGTGGAGCTCAAGGGCGCACATTTGTGACGGGGCCAGGTGCCGCTGAGGGACCGCACCTTGAGAACCACGGCCTCAGGCCACTTAAGCGTGTCCACCCGTGTGAAAGGATAGTCCTAGTACCCGCTGCTCATCTTTGTCACTGTTAAGTGACTACACGTGAATACCACTCTGCAGGCACAGCCAACCTGGGAACTTTTGCCTGTGCTTTTTGTTCCTGTGTTTTGTGTGCCAGTATTTGTTTTCTTTTTGTAATGAGTCACTTAGCAGGTGGGAACTTTGGAGGCTGAGTCTATAACTTGACTTAAGTATTGTGCTATTTTCAACTTTTTTTTTTTAGCGTAATTTATATGGTTTATTTAGAAACTTCATTTTTTTAAAATTCTGGTAAGACTTAATCTAAGACTTTATATGCTACAGAGCTATTTCCTTCCATGGTATTTTTTTAATGAACAGTCTGTTTTACATGGTTGTAGTTATATAATTTTGCATTCTGATTTCTTTCACATGATAAAGTGTTTTTATGTTATAAATTCTGTACATAATTTCAGTGGACATGCTGAAATTGACATAAAATTACTTATTGTTGGACACCTACCAATAGAGCACTGGTTGGGCAAATGGTAGTACATTCATTTATAAAGTATTAAGCAGCCATTTAAAAAGATATAATAGAAGTATATTTGTTAACATAGAGACATGTTCACAATTGTATATAAAATGAGATGGTTTTACCAAAAGATCGACTGCCTGCCAAATCTATCTGGACGTTCACTGCCTCAGTCTCAGCAGCTTTCAAACTTTAATGGACCTCAGAATCGCCAAGGGAGCCTGATACATGCAGGTTTCAGGTTTCTCATCTAGAGTTTGATTTAGGAGACGGGGCTCAGAGACTGGCATTTTTACAAGGATCCAGGTGATTCTGATGTGGGAATGACACTGCTCCCATTTCTGCCTGCTGAAGCTATAGTTAATTTCCCAAATTTCTCCTACTTTCTCCTCAACTCTATAGAACTTTGTGGCACTCCTTGCCTGCTTTCTTGTCTTGTGGATCCTTGTGAAGCTTTCTGAATGGTAAGACTTCCCCGATCCTCCAAGCAAACCCAGTTGGGCAGCACTGGGATTTGTGCCCAGATACTGAAATATTTGGAATCCAAGTTCTGTTTACCTGTAATGAGGAGAAAGAGACCAAGCATTTCAGAGCTCTTAAGCGCACCTGGTATTAGCAAGAACTTTGGGGAACTTTCCAACCTTGATAGGAAAAAAAAAATCTTATTTAAGTTACTCTTACCTTGGCAGTTAGGCTGTGAAACGTAAATACTTTGTCCTTTGTGTATTAGCTCTGGTCCAAGCCAGTGTTCTTTGGAGAGGGCGGTTAAAACCCTTCAAGAGGCTTGTCCTTCCTAAAGCAGTGTGAATATCTTCTGGATTTATTGCCTGGTTTCTTTCTTAGACTCTGCCGTTGAGGTTTATTCAAGGTGAGTTTCTCATCTTGCAGTTCACTTAGGGGCCATTTGTGCTAAAATTGAAGTTGAGTTTCCCATCAAAGTACGTCTTGGTTTTATTGGTTTGGTTTCTCTCTTTGCTTAAACCAAATAACATCGGGTCAGGGTTCTAATGTCTTATACTCTCCTTGGTATAGCAGGCCAGCTGCCGCAGGTGTAGAGTGACAACTATAACAATTGGGAAATATTATGTTGAGATGATATTGATCCTTTCCCCCTTCCTATGAGGGGACCATATTCTGTACAAACCTGTGCTTATTCTAGCTTTAAAAGCATGAATAGCCGCCTAAAAGAATTCCCCTGAAGGAAACCTGAAGAGCCAGGTTTGATAGCTCACTCCTCAGAACAAGCTCTTCCTGGCTTCACATGCAGATGTTAACTTTGTGCAGTTCACTCCAGATGAGCTGAGAATTGGTGTCATGGGGGAATGGAAGGTTCTGGTTAATGAAATGGTTCTGGCGGGAGATCTCAGGTGGGTCGGACTTGTCCACGTGGCAAATGCAGAATCATTCTTCAGAACGCTGTTCAGACATCAGATCTAAAACCCTAGATCTGTAAAGTCTTACATGATCCCCATCCTTGGAAAAGGTTGACCATGCCTTTTATCCCACATCCACAACAATGTCTTTCTTACACACGGCTCTATGACCGTCTGCCACAGTCTGGGGTAACTTTACGTTTGCATGGTGCTCCTCTCCACTGGGTCAGAAACTAGCTGGGCGTAGAGTGTGACCTACTTCTCTGGAAGTCTAATCACCTGGTTAAATACCTGGACAGGGCAGCAGTAAGCGCATGTATGAACGAATATTCCGCACTGAGCATGTGCCATCCATGAGATCAAATGCATTTTTGGGTTATTGTCTGGGAATTCTTGCACTAAATTCAAAGCCATTACCCTGTCATGACAAATTTCCTTAAAATACTGTTACACTAAGAATAAATGGTGAAAAAGATAAGTCCCATATCTGCTTCTTCCCAGATTCCTCATAGCTACTGAGTGTTCCCAGTCTGGGGGACCCCCGATTTAAGGGACAGATCTGAGATTCTAGGGAAACCTGCTCTACATTCGCCCATGAGCTGCTGTTAAATTCCTTTTCTGGGCTCTTGAATTCCACAGAAGGCTTAGATATCACAGATATTTGAGCTTTGTATATATGTGATAGATATGAAACATACATTCCCCAACTCTAATTCTAAAATGCTTGCGTTGAGGAGCCAGGAGATCATAGCATTGAAAGGGAGCTCTTCATTTTCCTGATTAGGAAACCAAGTCTCTCGAGAGACGGGCAGTTTTTGTTGGTGGAAGAAGCCCTAGAATTGAAATCAAATAGGCAGGATTCAGGTCTTGGCTCTGGGCTGCAAATCACAGCCTCTTACTGGCTGGCTGTGTGATCATAAGCAGTTTAATACTGTTTGAAGATCAGCGTTCTCATTTATAAAGTCTGGTTAAAAAGCCATCGTAGTGAGTTATGACAAGGGATGGCCTGAGATAATGTGAACCGGGTACCGACTATGATGTCTGCACAAAGCGAATCCCCAGTGATCTGCCGTCTCTGCCCTTCCTGCCCACTCACACCATCTGGGACACAGTTAGCACGTAGAAGTTCTCCTGGAGGTTGGTTAGGATACACCGTGGGTCCCAGTTTATTTGACCAGACTCCCACACATCAAGGACACTTGCTGCAAAGGAGCTGTGTCCCATCGGTATTTGAATACAAGATTCAGATTTCTCACCTGAAGAACAAACTCCCTCCTGAGTTACCTATTTCCCGGCTGTCGATTTTTTTATTTTTCCACTTTCCTTGCCCTGAGGGTTATGATACCTCCCAGTCAACCATCAACTACAATTTAAGTTTGTGTAATTGTGTGAATTAGCAAGAGCATTTCTATAAAGCACTAGAAGCTCAGAGCAAAGCATATAAGCATTTTGGAAAAATAAGATCTGTGTAGCCTAACAAGTCTTCAGTTTTTAAAGATCACACTCTCAAAGAGTAAGTTGAATATTTGTGCTAAATTGAAAGGGTTTGGGCTGACAGTAAACCGGGAGCATTTTAAGCACAGAGGTATTAGTCATAAACTTGAGTCATCACGAAACGTTCATCAGGTGGGAGAAGCAGCACCGGCTGTTTCCTTTGGTCATCCTCCCAGAGTTCATTTGTCATTTTCAAAGACAACTTATTTGTCGATCTTTTTCTTCCCTATAAAGGCAGAAACCTGTGGGTTCTTGTTGTGGGACGCTCACCAAAGGAACACAGAATTGGGATTCCAGAGTTCAAATACGTGGCAAACATGCACGGAGATGAGGTATGTATGGGGCTTGAATCTGTGAAGTGTCACCACAGAAACTCCCCCTCAGGCCTTCTGAGCTCTGTGTAAATGCCAAGGAGGCAGCATAAATTATAGCAAAGAATCTGGAAAGGTTTTCCTGTTAGGCCTTCTGAGAATTCAGGAACCAGGGCCCAAACAACCACAGCCATTTGGTTACTTACCCAGTGTCCTGTGAGGATACCTGGAGCTGCTGTTGTGTTGGGGCTGGGAGACCGGCGGTGCCCAGACTCAGCTGCCAGCCGCGTCCCTGGGCTCCTTCCTGGGTGGACTCCCCACCTCCCGGTCAGCGCCAAGGTGACCAGCGGAGGAGCTACATTCGATTTCAACTCGAAACAATCGGAAGGTCCTGGGCTACCCAGGTTTGCTCAGTAGTTAGAGCATCAGCCCACAGACTGAAGGGTCCCAGGTTCGATTCTGGCCAAGGGCATGTCCTCTGTTGCAGGCTCGATCCCTGGTCCTGGTCGGGGTCATGCAGGAGGCAACCAATCAATGTGTCTCTCACATCAACGTTTGTCTCTCTCTCTCCCTTCCACCGTCTCTGAAAAGTAATGGAAAAAATATCCTCAGGCGAGGGTTAAAAAAAAAAGGATCCCAAATAGCTACCCAAACTCATAACATCTGGGTTTTTTAATGCTTCTGTCACTTGCCCTTCATCTAATACTCAATGTTTTCAATGCTCAAGTTTAGACAATCAAAGTTAGGGTTCTCTCATACCCACCAGTCTACAAACACTCTTTTTTAAAAAAAAAATAAAAAATATCTTTATTGATTTCAGAGAGAGGAAAGGAGAGGGAGAGTTAGAAACATCAATGATGAGAGAGTCATTGATCAGCTGCCTCCTGCACGCCCCTGACTGGGGATCGAGCCCCCAACCTGGGCATATGCCCTGACCGGGAATCGCACCCCGATCGCCTAGATCCTAGATCGATGCTCAACCGCTGAGCCACGCCCGGCCGGGCTCTACAAACACTCTTAAATTCCCTAATGTCTTGCCTCTTTTCCAGCTTAGCAGGGGTAAGCTGTATTTTTATTTTGTTTTGTTCTCTGTTACTTATTTTGTATTTTGCAAAATACCCTTTTTCCACTCCTTCCTGCCCTGCCTTTCTTACTAGGAATTTGAAAATGCTTACCACTTTCTCCCCTCACTTCCTCAGCATATTTTTAGAATATGACGACTACAGTATTTTCAGTTCACCAGGACTCCATACAACCAGGCCATCAAGTGGTGGGCAGAGAGAGTTCCCAGTCATCACAGTAAAGAAGGTTTACATAGGAATGATGCGGGACACCCTGTAAAACACACCTAACGTTAAGGAATGTCAAAGTAATGCGTGTCCAGTAAGTCTGGCCGGCCAGCTTGCTAAAACTCCTGAAGGTGCAGGTGTGGGCGCCATGCCCTGATCAAATGCTGAGCCTCCTGCCCTGCTCGCCCTCCCCAAGCCTGGGCTCTACGGGAACAGCACCCACCCGGTGACATCCGCACACAGCCTGCCCTCCCGGCGCACCGCCAACCCGTCCCGCCCCGAGAGGGCACTGCTGGCATCTGGAACTAAGACACAAACACTTGCTTCCAAGAAAGGAGCTGATCTTTGAACCCGATTTGTAGGCGGGTGGAAGTTCAATCCCCCTGTGACCTTTCTGAGCATGACGGGCTGTGCTTTAAAAGACTTAAAATTGCTGGGAGTCTGACCAAAGTTGTTTTTAATAAAGCAACCGTTCATCGCAGATAGCAGCCCAGACTTCCTTTCCCTTTTGCTATCTAGCCCATTGATCAAGGTCCCATGGAACCCATTTTTAATCAGAGACATGTGATACTCATTGAGTTCAGGCGTTTATTACTGAATTTCTGGCATTTCAGAGGTTGCAGCCTGTTGCTCAAAAATTGATTCTCTGAACTGAAACTTCCAAAGGTAAACAAGAGTCCTTTCCCTGCCTCCTCTCTGAATTTGCTCATTCCTTCCATGCATGGTCCCGAGTTTCTGGAGGCTCGCTCTCTGGGTAGTTAACGTGACCCATTAGATCAAGGCTCTCTAGTTCCCTTTGATCTGAGGACTGAGATTAAGCTGGGGAAAGTCCCAGTGTGTGTTGGGGTGGGGACCTGAAGTCCTGTTACCCTCTGTGTGTCCCAGCTGGGAACAGTGTTTGTGGGCTCTAGGGGCCATTGAGAACTTGTTATTACGAATTTGAGATCTTGTATGTTCAGCCTTCCTGGTGCCACTAGGAGCTGAGGAAAGGGGTTACCTTCTATACAGTGCTTTACAGGAAAATGATAAAAATACCCAACATGTATGGAGCATAGACCACAGTAAGTGCTTTGCGGGCATCGCTTCTTTTGCTCACCTTTGCAGGAGGCATGTTTGTTGTACATTTACCTAGAAGGGAGTCAACACTCAACCACTGAGCCATGCCGACTGGGTTATCCCTTTTTTTTTTCCTTTGTAGAAAAAAAAAATCTTATACTTGGATAATCTCCAGATTGTTAAGACATATCTAATTCCTCTCTAATGGAAACACTGAGGTGAGGCCTGACTATGTGCTTAAAAAGTTGGATGCCAATAGATTTAAACTAATCCAGTAATAGGCAAAGTACAGGTCAGAGTCTGGGTTCACAAGGTACCCTTGACCTCAGGGCCCATGGTGGTAAGTAGTACAGGGGTCGTAGGTATTCAATATGTGTTTGTTAAGCTTAACTGAATTGCCAATTCTGATTTATTTATTTTTTTTGGAGATTTTTTTCCAAAAGCTGTTTCTTAAACATCAATGCATTATTTTTACTACAGTGGTTTATTCGAGTATAGACTTTTGAAATATCCACATCACACTTAGAATTTCACATTTGGTGGCATTAATTTGTATCATTAATTGTATTCCAGGCATATAGGTTGAAGGGAAAAACATTTCCTAGATAATAGGGACCCTGTTTTTCAACTTTAAAAGATAAATGATTTTCACACACCTTCTAGAAATGAGACAGTTTATGAGATGTAGTTTGTATCTCTTAATGTTTGTATTTAGAGGATATTTTAATGTTTCCATGAACAGTGGGACATACTATCTGAAAATGCCTGTCCTGGACAATCTGGGATGTGTAGTCAACATGCAGAAGGGGCTCCAAACTTAGTAACACAAAACAAAAAAAGAAAATTTAGAGCTTGTCCTTCCAAATGCCACTTCCCACATTTTTCCCCCCATCTCTGTACCAGATGATAGCAGAATGTCCTCAGTTTTGCAGTTGTGGCTTTGGATAATTAATTCTTTCTTTGTGGATTTAGACATAACTAATCTTTATTCCAGGTGACCTATCTCATTCCTTTTAGGCATGTATTTAATTCCTCATATAAATATCCTTTTTTTTCCCTTTATCTCCCTTTTGGTAAGGTTGGGCTGGGGTGACCAGAAATCCCAAATACTCGGCATGACCAGAATTGTTAGCCCCACCCCTGTGAAATTTGTTCAATACTGAAAATCCTTCAAATGAAATAACCTGAGCATTTGTACATCTCCCCTCACTAAGGGCCTGAAGTCCTCATGTTTTCAGAAAGTTCCTCCTTGGAGTAGTCTTGACCTTGTAATGGATCTGCCCACAGTAATTTTTGAGTACATGATATGCCAGGAGCTGGGTAAGATACCAGGGCTACAGAGCAAGCTCCTGAGATCTCTGCCCTCCAGGCTCAGCTGGTGGAGGGGGGAGCGGGGTCAGTCAGGGTCCCTCAGGCCATTCTACGTATGTGAGCACTGTTAGGAGGGCACAGTGTGCAGAGTTGTGGGGCCACAGGCAGGTAACGGAACCCAGGTGCACGTGTGCCGGATACTGTCATATTTAGGCTGTTTGAAGGATTTAGCTAATCAGTCAGACAAATGAACTAAATCTGTAACACCACTGTGGTGACACAGAGCTGACAGGCTTATTTTCTCCCCAGACGCTGCGTTGCAGTGTAGCATTTCCAAAACCAGTCCCAGTGTTGGGATAGCTGAAGTTCCTGTGCTGCGTCTCACACGGCACACTGCCTCTGTGCGGATTGTTTCTACAAAACATTTTTACTTGTTTATAAACAGTCTTGAAAGAGCTCAAGCATTCAGTTTTATCTATCCGGCAAATTCCAACATGACTGAACTGAATGAAAACGGATAGAGGAATATTTTCTGCTTTCTGGGTTGTTGCCATTTTAACTACCAGATAAGTCAGGAGTGGAAGGCTCCAGGGGCTGGTGTGTTCAGCTTTTGGTTTCTTAATTAGGGATTCTCTTGTTAAGTCCACCCCCTCCCAAAGAGGAAGTGAGCGGCTGAATGAAAGGCTGGTTAAGCTACTGGACACTGTTTTGATCACATTCTTTCTTAAAATTTGGACTCTCTAAGGTTTCATATTCAAAGACTTAATTTTAAATGAAGGGAATTTATACATAAAACATGAGTGTTTGAGACATTTATATTAAGGTTGGAAAGAATTAATTTGAATATTATTTGGCAAAAATCTGTTACAGAGGCAGCAAAAATATGGCCCAACGAAAAGAGAGGACTTTGTTTAACTCCCTCTGAAATTTCATCTGTTTACCTCAGCATTTTTAAATCATCTGACTCTTTGTTAGTGCTTTATTGTATTTCCAAGATTTTTATTTACCCTCTGCAGTGAAGAACTTGTGATTTGTTTGGCATATAAAGACAAACAGAAAATATCTTTGTCACATACTTTTTTCTTGAAAAAAGCCATGATTTTTCTTTTTTCAGTAATAGGTTTTCTTTAATTTAAAAGTGACACCAGAAAAATAAGAGGAAATAAAAGTCATTCAGGACATCGTCACTAAAAATAACCATCATTAATATTTGCCAGACATCGTTCAAGACATCTGTGTATTTCCATAGTAAGAAAATGAAAGGGATTAAAAGGATATAAAATAAAATATGTGTCATATTATGTTATTTTTAAATAAATAATAAATATGAGATTTAATTTTACTTGGATTTAACAATAAAACTGAAGTGAAACTAAAATAATTGGTGAACTTGATACATATTTTCTCAAAATAAGAAATTACTTATCAGGAGATTCTTCTAAAGTCAAGAAAAATTTATGAAAAACTTTGAAACTGTGATCACTTAAAATATTTAAAATTTTTGATAGTATCTTACAAGTATTGCTATGAAAAGTGAAGAAAAATTGGCGCCTTGAAAAGTCCTCTCTTCTCTACTTTCCTTGCCCCCAGCCTCTACCCTCTCTGTTAATTATAAATCTTAACTTCTGAAAAATTTTGGCTTTAATTTTTTTTAATTCTCACCTGAGGATATGTTTTTATTGAGTTTATAGAGTGAGGAAGGGAGAGGGAGAGAAAGAGAAACATTGATGTGAGAGAGAAACATTGACCGATTGCCTCCTGCGCAGACCCCAGCCAGGGATCGAACCCCCAGCCAGGCATGAGCCCTGACCAGGAATCAAACCTGAGGCCTTTCGGTGTGTGGGACGATGCTCCCGCCAACTGAGCCACATTCCCCGGGGCATAAACCTTCACTTTTATATTCTGTTCTGGACCCATATTACCACAGTTTCTTAGTCTAGTTTTAGAGTTTAATCATAGCTTTTCCCCTCTTCTTTGTTTTCATTTGCTTTTGGGTGAATGAATTTCATTGCCTACCCTGGTCTTGAGTTCTGGCATGTGTGAGGATGTTTGCTCAGAAGCCGGAGCGGGAAATTCGCACTCAGAACCACGTGGGGATTCTGACGTGGCTCCCCTCTGTGTGCAGCGTGGGACTCGGATGGGCCTCAGGTTTTTCCTGATCCGTCCTTCTAATCGAACTATCGCACGGTCTCCAACCACATTTGAAATTTTCAGGAGCTGCAAGAGATTCCTGGTCCCTCCCTCCTCCCTTTCCTTTACCTTTTCCCCTTCCCCAGCCCCTTGCCTGAAGAGCTCCTTGAATCAACCACGCTTTCGACTATGTCACCCTTAAAAATTAAAGTCATCAGCCCCTTCTCCGCTGGTTTTAGGGTAGCCAATAGATGGCTCATGGAGGTTGCTTGCAAAACACAGAATTGGAAACCCAGTTTGACTTTTCTGGTTATTAGTTTGTAAGGACTTTTTCAGGGGGCAGTTTTGATTGTAAAAATGAAAATCACAGTAGAGGGAAAAGACAGAGATGAGTAGGGAAAAAATGAAGTCAAAATTGAATATATTTCCACCCTGAATTTCATGGCTACCTATGAATATATGATTCATATATGCCAAATTTTCTTAGTCCCGATTATTTTGTGTTTATTAGGATAGCAAATTCATAAAATATGGTCTTTTGCATGCTTGCCAATGAGGGGCATAAAGGAATTGCTTATCCTTTGTCACAACAATGAATTCCCACAGTGGGGTTGTAATTGACTCTTTTCTTGCCCACTGTCCCTATTTAATCACCTGCTGCCCGACTTCTCATTTCCTAACCCCCAACAGCATCTGACCTTATGTAAGAGGTGACATTCCTTACTCAGAAACAGACTCCTTGAACCCAGGGTTACAAGAGAAATTAATACAGCCTAGTCAAACCTTTCTATACTAAGGCTGAAATGCGAATTACTGGTTTTGAGGAGTTTTTTAAATAAGAAAAATAGTAAATCTCTTCCTTGGGAATCGTAAAGCAAGATCTCTCACAGGCCTTCAGTTTACCAGTCATTGGTACATAAGATAATTTTAGGTGGATGTGAAGACCATGTTATTTTCATAGTCATGCTTTTATTTTAATGTACATTAGAAACATATACCTAGCAAAATGGTAATGACACCAAGTTTTTCATTAAAAAAATTTTTTGACTTTCAATATTATTTTATATTAGTTTCAGGTGTACAGCATAGTGGTTAGACAGTCATATACTTTACAAAATGTTCCCCTAGATATTTTCAGTACCCATCTGACACCATACATACTTATTACAATGTTATTGACTATATTCCCTATGCTGTACTTGACATCCCCATGACGATTTTGTAACTACCATCTGTACTTCTTAATTTCTTCATCTTTTTCACCCAGCCCCCCCAGACCCTCTCCCCTCTGGCAATCACCAATCTGTTCTCTCTATCTATAAGTCTGTTTCCATTTTGTTTGTTCATTTATTTTGCTCTTTAGATTCCACAAATCACATGGTATTTGTTTTTCTCTGACTTCTTTCACTTAGCATAATACCTTCTAGGTCCATCCATGCTGTCACAAATGGTAATATTTCATTCTTTTTTATGGCTGAGTAATATTCCATTGTATTTATGTACCACAGCTTCTTTATCCACTGGTCAATTGATGGACACTTAGGTCGCTTCCATAGCTTGGCTATTGTAAATAATGCAGGGAACATAGGGGTGCATATATTCTTTCTAATTTGTGTTTGGGTTCATTCTAATTCCTTTTTAAAAAGTAAGTTATTTACAGATGGGTATTTTTTAAATTAACTTTTAAAAGAACTTTTACTAACAAATAATTTTTAGCACACCCGTGATTGCCACTTGCCAGAGTGTCCATGTGCTTGAGAAACGGTGGCCCTGGTTTTGGTGACATTTACCACGTGCAGAGTGCCTTGCTGGGGAATTTGTGCTTTGGGGGCTGTTTTCCTCTGACCTAGTGATTTCCCTTTTCCCATGTGCAGACTGTCGGGCGGGAACTGCTGCTACATTTAATTGAATATCTCGTAACCAGCGACGGAAAAGACCCTGAAATCACCAGGTTAATCAATAGTACCCGGATCCACATCATGCCTTCAATGAACCCAGATGGATTCGAAGCTGTCAGAAAGCCTGACTGTTTTTACACTAACGGAAGGTAAGGACAGGCTAGTCGATCTTTATTTAAAGGAAAACAAAACAACCAAAAGGCCCCCATGAAAGGGTCCCCTTGGCCCTGTGAGAGGAGTTAGGGAACCATCTCATAGCCTGTGTGTCACACCATTGCCGTGCTGAAAACTCCTCAGGGCTGCCTGTGTTGCTTTTAGGATGAAAAGTAAAATC